ACTTTGTATGTGTCCTTAAAATTTGATACATCTGGTTCGAAAGTTATGTATTTTTTTTAACCAGTATTTCAGTTCTAATTTCGACTTGCTTGTCTTCTAGCAGTCTATAATAATTTGTATATTACTTGTAAAATAACTTTGTCAAAAAGTATGGATTGCTGTCCTACATAAAAGTATACTTCAGATTTATGTAATGATCTCGGCCCTAATTCAAACTCGTGCAAAGCACGACTCTCTTACTCGTGTATAATTTGATGTGATTATTATATTTTAAGTGGAGATTCTATCCTAGATTGTCTGGAAATGATAAAATAATAACCTAAATGAAACTGTTACTGCATGTAACTTTTGTTGTTGACAATTAACAAAACTTTTTCTTCATTTAAATGATGAAAAAAAAAAGACTGCATGAGTGCATGTAAGGGGGTGTTATAAAATAAATCGCTTTTCCCCCGAAATAATGACGAACTTGGTAGGACCGCGAATATCATCACTCGTGAGAAAACGTCATTTCAACGTACTCTTGAGTGGTTGACTCTTCGAATTTCATTTTTTTTTCGAAAACTTTTGAATCATGGTGCTCTCTAGAAGTCAGGTTTGTGTTGCATGTTCTGCCTTCGGGATGGCTCAGAAACTAGTCGCTGACATGTTCCAAGAATTCAAGTCGGAGCTTTCGTTCAACAATGCACAGAAGAAATGTTGCAAACTTTGTCTGAATGCGAGAGACACAAACGTGAAACCTTGATTCGTGTTCTCACTGATGTGCTCACAGAGACAGCCACAAAAACAGACATGTCTGTTGCATTGCTGAAATATTTTGCAACTCGATTAAAACTCGTGCGTGAGAACAATGGTGGCCCGATCAAGGGATATTGATCCTTGGAATTACTTTTTTGATTGAATTAAAATCTTATTTTTACTTTGTTGTGCTCTCGGGGAAAAAAGTGTAATTTATTTCACAACACCCCTTAACAAGAGAAGAGCCCATAAATGACAAGCGACGAAATGCTTTCAAGTTAGAACAGACGATTGCTTTAGTAAATCCAACAACTTGTCACAACAACTTTGTCAGATTTGTATTTCTACTGAAACTTTAGTTGAAATATCGTAGCACCTGTTTCTGTTTAATTATTCAGACAAACAGTCAGTGCTATAATTTGGTTGTTGACGACATTAAGTATATTGTTTTTACTACACAAGTGAAACAAGATTGCAAAATACTTCGCTATTCGACTGATTAACGTACTTCTCAGATCTGTTTGGAGTGAAGGCTTGAATATCTTTTCCCACTATATCACCTTGGCAACCGTGACTTGTTACTTCTGTATGGTATACAGGGATGTATAAATTTTCTGTTACTCCCACATTATGTATTTCCGTGACGTTGTTTATGAAAATTATTCAACAGTTTGAACAGAAATATTATAATTCGAAATGTATTTCTTCTCGGAAGAAAACCGTGACAAATTTGTAATCCTGTCTGTTGCAGCGAGACCAACTAGTAAAGACGAGTTTAGGAACAAGTTGATCTCACGTGCAAGGATATATTTTCGGGAATATAATCGTCGTCCATTATTCGATGTACTTTTTGAAGTCTAGTTTTACCAGGTCCTTGGTTTTCCAGTGTCTCAAAGTATCTGTTTTCTGTAGTAATCATCTTTAAGTTCTTAAAGAGGTTTTTAGTAATGATTCTTTTAGGAAGTTACTTTATTACATGTTGTGCGTGACGAGGGTTGGAAGGTTTAGTTTTTAAAGTATTCTTAGCTTGTGTAGCAAGTATAGAAAAACTTTAGGTTTTTAAATTATAATCTTTGTGAATCTACATGGTTTCTCAAAATACTTATGGAGGAGAGACAACTGCTCGAGGCTACATACATTCTCTATTTGTTTTACGATTTACAATAACAGTTATTACAAATAGTTATTACGAACAATAATTTATGTACAAAAATTTTACAAACTTGCAAGCAATACAAAGTTTTTTGTTTTTTTTCTAGTCTGGAACCTTCTTGATATCTTGTGTAGGGTTCACGATGAACAAGTTAATTAAGAGTTGGTGTAGGTACAATTCGCTTAACGGGAAGCTAGCTTGCTTTGTCCTTCGTTATTCACCAGCCACACACGCCGAGTTTTCCACCGTGACGTTATGTAATGTTTTCGTAAAAATACTCGTCTCCTATGAGAATCCACTGAAGTTAAATGATTTGTAATGTTCTAACTTTATAAATGTTCCTGGTCAAATATTAGAAGTTTCCAGTTGATAAGTGTTATAACAATTAGTTATAGCTTCCGAAGTTTATGGCACATTGATTATAGCAAACTAGTAATAGATACTCTCTTCAGGCGCGTCGCGTTGTTTATATTTATAGGCGTGTGGAGGTTTTCTCGAAATTTCAGTTTTACGTAAGTGTATTGACGCTAACACAAGCGTTTACGTACACGCATATATTGTTAATTCTTACTCTCGAGAACCTTGTACAAGCTTGGAGAATAGGCGGGAGTTTCGCAATACATATTTAGCACTATAAGCTATGTATATTTCTAAATATAAATTTGATCTAAACAAACGTCGATAGTAAAATAAATATATATTAATAATTCCGTCACAAAGTAAAAACAAAACTTTTCCATACTATTCTTTTTCCTTATCACGTTTTCTTTAAACGTTTTGTCCCCTAGTGGCTCTGCGATAAGCTTGAATGCTAATAACACTAAAAAAAAAAAGTTTGATATCCGAGATGGGAATAGCGAAGATAGCCTGTTGTGTAGTTGGGGGCTTGAAAGACAATCTTGTACATTTCTGAATAGTCATCAAATGTACCTGTTTCTGTTAATTTACTTCTATTAATTTTTTAGCTGTGCGCATAGCAGGTATTGAACTCCGAATTTAAACATTATAATCCTCCACACACCCCTAAAAAAGCTTGCTGCTGAGCCATGGAGGGCTTTGTTTTGTTTTTTTGCCTGGAATAAACTTTTTTTTATTCGTTATCATATACAATAGTGTATATATTTTTTTATTTTCCTCATAATTGAATATTACTTAAGGTATCAGGTGGCTACAAGACACCTGTTATACAAAGTTCTCACCTGAAGCTTCCTTGTTATTTTCAAGATGTACTATGTGATAAGACATTTTAGGATTTTTAATTTCAGTCACACAAGTACAAGGTTAGATTAATTATTTATAAATTCATAGGTATGATATTTTCGCTGTAAACCGGTTGGAGAAGAGACTCACTTGGCAGAATATCAAAACATTTTAGTTGTTTTTATCGCTTTTGTTTATCATATAGCTCTAAACTCCGAGTATTTACATTATTCAAGTAATATTAGAATATTTCAAATCATTGTTTCGAGATTTAAACGCGTCCCGAAAACAGTTCATTGATTAAAAAATAATAGTTACTTTCTCGATTTTGGTTAAAAGTATGTTGAACCAGTTGATCAAAATATAAATGTGATTGTTATATTCTATCTTAGTCATTAAATATACGTTCCTAGAGGCGAACGTTTCGCTGATGATCCAAGGGCTAAAAAATCGCCACATATTAGAGTCCCTTGATTTAGTGTAAGGTTACGATGGAACAAGTAATTGGCGTGTTTGTACTGTGAATTTATTGTTTCCGTCCAGTTGACACAATCGCGCTCTGCACCATGGAGCTGTGAATGAGTTAAGAGTCAGTCCAATCCCACGTTTCGATCAGAGTAGCCCGAGAGTTGTTAATGAGTACTGGTGACCTAGCTGCTTTCCCAGTAGCCTAAGAGTTCAAACTGAAAAAGAGAGCAAAGATAGCCCATGTTGATTTTCTAGAATATTCAAAACAACCAATAAACTTTCAGCTTGTTTATATTACATTGTGTGCTTTATTTAGAGGTCGTGACGATACTTAATTTACGTTCTGAAAATTTAGAGAATAAATTTCATTTAAGTTCTGTAGTACAATGCAGGAAGAAGGAATAAACGCGTAATATGTTTGTCTACGAACTATTCTGAGTCAACGCAAACAAGTTAAATTATATTACCCTGAGTGTTTTACTCGGGCTTCACTGGCCTCGTACGATAGTTTTGGTAATCTTTTATTTTATTTTTCTGTACGCTTACTTGAAAGCTTCATTGCTTCTACATTACCCTGACACGTGTGACAATAATTATGGTTTAACCTCGTATATAAATAAACCGGCCTTCCTACTTAAGGAGATAAAGTCAATTTTTATTTACTTAACAAACACTAAAATGGGGATTAATCTTCAGTCTCGCTAATGGTTGGATCGCCAAAACATTTAATATTTGTGTTGAAAAAACACTTTTTGCATACGAGTCGTCACCTGTCGGAGTATATTTAGATTGCTTTGTCTTCGTTGTACCGTAGCTAATTATTTTACCTTGAATGAAAGACTAGAATAACAAATGCACCTATATTCATCATGTCTTGTGATTTAGTCTTTTGTAAGAATTGGAAAGCTTTCTCTGTGTTAGCGTTTGAGTAAGCCTTGGTCTATTTATTAAGAACATACGACCATAATAATGTACGAAACCATAAATAAAAATGTGCTATTGGGTTTGTGGCTCGGTCTCTCAAAAAGATGGAAAACTTGTATTAGACTATTCTATTATATATCATATTCTATTAACGATTTTATAAGAAGTGAGTGTCGCATGCTCGTCAAGTTGGAAAAATGTAACTTCTCTCTTGGAATATAATTTAAGGTACTTAAATATTCTCCTGTATTTGATACTAAAAGACCATGATTTAATTTGACTTCAAAGTTATTGTATTCGTAAGTTTTAATTTTTTTCAATTCAAATATCATTAAAAGATCTGAAAAGGTGACTACGTTACACAAAAACAAGTGCAACTTTCATTAAAAAAAAAGACAAACCTCGTATAGAAGTATTTACAGTGTTACTGAATGTTACTTTTCGAAAGCTTAGTCAAACTTTATCTGTGGAAGATAGTTTTGTGTGCATATAAACACTGCTTCCTCGAACCTTGCAGATGAACCTGATGACCAGTTGGATCGACGGAAGCTTTGTGTACAGCACAAGCGAGGCTTGGGTCAACTCTATGAGGTCTTTTCAAAACGGAACCTTCCGTGTGGACAAGAAAGGAACATTTCCTCCGAAAAACAAAGAAAGAGTCCCCTTAATTAACTCTCCGCCTGCCCACTATCTTGGAATGTTAAACCTAGAAAGAATGTTCTGTAAGTTACTAAGAAAATTATGTATAGCTTCTTACTGTTAAAATAACTTTAGGGGCTATTTAGAAAATATTTGTGTACAAATAATTAATTACTTAAAATATGAAATTTTAAGTTAGTGTCACCGCTTTGGTTTAAACAAACGAGTTCTAAGTCCTCATTTCTTTAGTGCTAGGGGATCCACGCACCAATCAAAATCCAGCACTCTTGGCCTTCGGAATCCTCTTCTTCCGTTATCATAATGCTGTCGCATTGCAAATACAAAACGAACATCCTGACTGGTCAGATGAAGAGATCTTCCAACGGGCACGAAGATGGGTTATAGCAAGCCTTCAGGTAAGTGTTATATGTATATATAATGTGTGTGTGTGAAACCGATTTACGCAAGACTAGGGTATAAACTTCACTTGTATAAGAGAACAAAAGTTCTTAAATATTTAATTGCGCTTTTGTATTTAAAAAAAAATACCAAACATGTTAGTATTTTATGCGTATTTGTAACGGTAAAATAAATTAAAGCTGATTGTTTTGAACAAGAATAAATAATTAATTCAAATAAAGATAATTTCCAATGTTATTAATATAAATGAGAATTGACAAAGTACTAATACTTGTAAGGTTCTGACTAGGAATCAAAGGAGTATTAAATGGACTAAGGTTCTGACTAGGAATCAAAGGAGTATTAAATGGGCTAAGGTTCTGACTGGGAATCAAAGGAGTATTAAATGGACTAAGGTTCTGACTGGGAATCAAAGGAGTATTAAATGGGTTCTTTTTTTGCATTCTATTAAACTAGTTACAGAAGGAATAAAAAAAAAACGGATGTTATTTGTTAACAATGTTTATCCTGCAGACTGAGCAAAAACTTCAAACTGATAAACAGAAACTATGGATTATCAAACTTCTTTACAGGTTTTGTTACACAGTGTTTTGTCATTAATGCATTTAATTACACAGTAACTTTGGCCATTAATCTTTTCAATGCTCACATCTGTTGGAGTACTTTAATAGAATTCGTAGAACTTTTGTAAGTTAATTATGGCAACCTTTACTCTATTTTTGTACGAACTACTGACGTTTTTTGTTAGGCTTAAAGTTAAATTTAATAGTGAGAATTAGAAGACTACCAAAAAGAAGAAAAAAGTTCACATAGTAAAATCTAGGTGTGGCCACAAAATGATTGTTTATGTATGTGTGAACAGGCAGAAACTACTTAAAACGAACTGGTACGTAGAATGAAAATCGTACTCTGCATATAATGCACAAAAAGTAACTTTGTTTAACGACTTCCTTCTTTCGCAGATTTCTGAAATATCACGAGACTAATTTACTGAAAATGTAGATCGTTACAAGGATTAAATTTACACGGGGTGTTTCTGCGTAACACAATTACTTACCAATAATGGGTGATTCATACTTTAACTAGGACAGAAGTGGGGGACAGAAAGTTGTAAAAAGAACATGTATATTTTTACATTTAGCAAACATCAATAACGGGTCTTGATTATCAAGTATAAAAAATTTTCCCATGTTCCTCGAAAAGCTAACTTAAAAGGTTCACTGTTGTCTAATGTGTAGACGGGAGTACGTGTAAAATCGTTTCAGTTTTCAATAGAAAAGAAATGAACCAAATTACAGGTTATGCTCCAAATTTTTGAGGTCTATGGATTTTGTAAGCTTTATATCCAGCGCAATAAGAAAAAAAAAAGCTCTAAAGTAGACAATTAATTAAAGCACTTCACTATGCTGTTTATGGCTGTAATACGGCTGGTACTGAATTGTTGGCAAACTGCACACGAGATGTCCGTTTTACTTTGTACTTACGTTACCTATTTGTAGGCGTGTATACCGAGTTGAGAAGCTGTATTAGTGTTAAACGCAGCCTCTGCGAATTATCCTAAATCATTAAGGTTAAGTGTGCATGTTATTCGTACATGCTCCTTGATGTAGTGTTTGTTCAAGAATGTGGGCCATAAACGAAACAATCGTCTTTCTACAACTTCAGTGAAATAACGATTAAATATAATTCATTGTATATATTATGGTGTAGCTTTACCATATGGTCGAGTTCTGCTTGACTCGTTTTTATAGTATCAGAATGTTATTGCGGATACATTACGTAATGCACTCGCTGTTCCAACAACTCCTTTATAAAAAGAAAAAAAAGTTGGATATAAACTCAAAGCTACAATCAAGACAACCTATAGATTTGAACATGTTAAGAGTTTAGACGAACTTAAGGAACATTATTGATATGATGGTAAGTTTATTTGTTGAAATCGTGCTGTTTTCTGCTTTTCCAGCTTCCTACTTTAATCTTCTTTTTTTAACTTACCCATAGTAATAATTGAACAGTCTTTATTTTTTATATGCTTAATCCTGATTGAACGATAATTAGACGTTAAAAAAATAATAAAAATCGAGTCCCAAACAATTTGTGACGTCCAACTGATACTAAAAGTTTCTCATCCTATTTCTGCTGTTTGTTTTCACTCCACTTGTTAACCTGTCACATATCAAAAATGTTCAATATAACTATAGTGCCGAAGGCAGACTTAACTAAAATTATCTAAGGCGTCGCCTCAATCTGTAATTTCTACAAGAACAGCTTTACGTGGGTACTAATGTGATGACAGTGTAATTCTATGGTTTGAATGTTCTTTTTTTTCATATGTTCGATTACAATATGATGCGAGTAATTATTCCTACTGAATTTTTTGTTCTAAATAAGTTTAACTCTTTCTCAATTTGATTGTAAATAAATAAAAACATCTATGTAAACCAACTGTATGATGTACCCCTGAAAATACGTAATAATCTACTCTCATATATGCTATAGAATCACCCTAATTTAAGATTTACATTTACACAATATAAAATTCTCTCTATGATCTAAAGTTGTATAATTTCTTCTTGATTGTATATTATACAGTTACTCTCATGATTTACATCTCTTCTAAGCTGCAGAGTTAAGTACAAATCTGGCTTTCGTTAAACTGTAACATTACGTAAAAAAAGAATCCCACATCTGATTTGGGCTATGAGTTGTATAAATAAAAATCCAGCTCGCCAGCGGCATGTTTGCAAGTTTCTGTTGCGCAAATCTTTTTTTTTCGTCACTTGAATTGAATTTTTTGAAATTCCATTGGGTAAATCTAAAGTGAAACGAATAATTTCGGCTTGGGCCATCTTTAAGTCGCTGAGGAATATAAACCGTTATCGTCATTAAAAAGAGGTTAAACGATACTTTACTGATAAGAAACGTCACGAATAATTTCACAGATCTTCTGCTCCAATTACCAAAATAATGAATTTAACGAAATGCTTCTATCTAAAAATATTTCTCAAATCTCGTAGGGTATTCACTAGCTTATTTGTATATATCATATCCAGAGCACAAAATAGGCTGAAAAAAAATACATTTAGGTATATTAGATTCACCCTACATGTTCTCTTTTCTGTTATTTATATAAAGTTTTTATATATTTTGTCGTTTAAATACCTCTTCACATTAAATAAAAGCGTTACCTTGGTTCTAAACTGGTGGTTATTAGAAACTTGTTTAGTTACCTTGGCTCTAAACTGGTGGTTATTAGAAACTTGTTTAGTTACCTTGGCTCTAAACTGGTGGTTATTAGAAACTTGTTTAGTTACCTTGGCTCCAAACTGGTGGTTATCAGAAACTTGTTTAGTTACCTTGGCTCCAAACTGGTGGTTATCAGAAACTTGTTTAGTTACCTTGGCTCCAAACTGGTGGTTATCAGAAACTTGTTTAGTTACCTTGGCTCCAAACTGGTGGTTATCAGAAACTTGTTTAGTTACCTTGGCTCCAAACTGGTGGTTATCAGAAACTTGTTTAGTTACCTTGGCTCCAAACTGGTGTTTATCAGAAACTTGTTTAGTTACCTTGGCTCCAAACTGGTGTTTATCAGAAACTTGTTTAACTTCTCTTGCAAAAGAGTCGGTCTTTTTTTTTTTTCTTATTTAATTCAATTAATTGTTTAGGCTGGAGAATGCACTCCACCCAAATCCAGTGGCCAATTTTAGGGGTGTTTCAAAGAAATTACCACTCTATATAATAATGTAAGAAGGGTTATCGCTCGAATATGCATGCGTTTAGTTCAACTCGCCATACCCAATCCTTATAACAGGTTTTATATTAAAACAAACCGTTTGGCTCAGTATCTTTGGTAGTTACACCCACACCAAGTAACCCTAGGTAGATAGTTGAAAATACTCGTTCATTAAACCTAAATCATTAATAGAGAACTTGTATGTTGAATAAACTGTCATGCAGCTAATAACTTGTTTATTTTTATTGAGTCCACCCCTTGATTGTGTACATCACAAGGTAATCAGTCATCCTACACACAGACCTAACAATATGACCACAATCTACATACTCATTTACAACCTAGAAGAAAACTTTGATAGAATTCGTTCATAGTCTAATTCAATAGGGGAAGCACGTTTGTGTGGCTTCAGTCAGCCTCTAAGTTGCACACAGCCGTAAAGGACACTGTTATTATAGTTAACCTGTCTAAAAATTATACTATTCGATCATCATATAAATTAAGGCGTAATGAATTATTTAATTCAGTTTAACGTTTAGATTT